ACAAGAGGGAGAGCCAGAATCCAGACCTGAATTGCCAAGGCTGGAGAAAGCAGAGATCACAGAGGCATGCAGTGAGAAACAGTTGCAAACTCTGTGGGAAAGCTGAGTGACCAAGCAGATATGGCTGCAGGGAAAAACCTGGCCCAATCCAATAAACAGTGTCAGTTTAAGAAGTCAGACCCACTGAGTGTCAGATGTTCCAAGTGATTTGCCCTTAAGCAATAGGATACATCTAAAGGGTGGGGGGTAACTCTTGTTAATTTGGGAAGTGGGGGAAGCTAGCCAGGTTAGATTCAGTGACTATGAAGCAGATGGCCCACAATGCTATGTTCTTAAAGGTTCAGAAAATTATTTTCTTTTTGAAATCTCATGAAGGAGCTGGCTGTGGGAGGAGGTCTCCTTGTGAATCAGACAGTTGAAGAAAGGGAAACAAGGCATTCCTCTCCAAAGGCACCTGGGCGGAGGACCAAGAGGGAAATAGCCCATGGCAAGCTGAAATGCACCCAGTTGGGAATACTGTTGGTCATCCAGCTAAAACACAATCCATCATGGCTTATTTTCAGGGTGGCTTAGAGGAACATGTGAACTTGCCCAATGGGTTAAGTACAAATAGTTCTTCTCTAACGATTTAGCCATAACAAATTATCTTTGAAATTACTCCTTGGCTGCTTTTCATTACATACTGGACCTATTCTAAGGATGCTTGAGGAATCTGATTTTCATGAGTTCTGATGCAAACTGAAATGATCTGTATTTCCTGGACAAATGTGGAGATCAGGATTTAGCTATTCACTGGCTTGCAGACTTTCCAAGTGTTCTAACCCAGTTTTAAGTCCAAAATTTTATCAAATACATCCAAAGAGCATGTTATGAAAGAAAATGCATTTAAAATGTGTATTTTTGGGGGAAAGACACTGAAAAACGCATATTTAATTATGTTTTTGCAGAGGGGTAAGCACATGTGGAAGTGGCACAGCAGGGAAACACCAATTCACCCATTATTCATCTACACAATGGAAACTACACACATGCATTGCACACAGCAGTTTGTGTGCACACCTGATATAGTCACAGAATGGATGTTCAGTTTTGACACTGCTACTTACCTATGGTATAGAGAGGGGCTTTAGTAATCCCTTGCACTTAAAATTAAGTGATGAGTGATGTTAAAGTTGATATTTGTAGATGATGCTCCCAAGAACTGGACCCCATGCATGGAATACAATTAATCTCAAAATCTCCTGTACTATCTCACTCATGCAATCTGAAGTATATTATAGATTAGATAACTAATGGTGTAAATGCACTTTTACATATCTTCCCTTTCCCAAACTCATTCTGTACCACTGCATGAGCAGGACCCAATCCAGCCAAAGTCCATTTGCCGTTAGCCTTAACCAATAGATTGAAAATCAGAACCCATTGAGTATGGATGAGGTTAAGCTTTTCCTTCCCTATTGTCTGTACTGTGCTGATAAAAACAACTAATCTAAAGCCGGTTTATATTGATAGGAAATCCTTATCCATACTTTTACTGGGGGATTGGTTCCCAGTGCAGCTGGGAAATGTATGGCCTGCCTCCCTTTGCTGTTTTAGAACAGCAGTTTTCATGAGGACCAAAACAAGTACGAAAAGATTAAATTCCCACTCACCTGCTTCAGTCCCAGTAATTCTAATCTGACATCCTTAGTGGCTGCTGTTTCTGTTTTCAAAAGCTTTTACCTTAAATGCAAAATTGCATTTAATGTCATATCTAATTTAGCTTTTATTTTGCATCCATGTGCAAGTTTGCACAATATTTTGGTATCTCTCTACTCAGTGCATCCAGATCACCATGTTATGGCATTTGGTACTACGTCATATAGTGTAGGGAAAAATGCAGTAAAGAGCAGGATACATAGAACATTAGACACAATATTACCCCATCAGTGAAACTTGGCTAATTAAATATGAAAGTGCATGTTGTGGGTTCCTACAAGCCTAACCATGTGTACCTGGAAGTAGTTCATATAGCAAGTCTCAATGCCCAGTACATATTCTTACGATCATGCTTTTAAGCATAGTTGCTTTCCCTGGATCACATTCACTGCTGGTCTATAATGTCATGTTTCACTATATTCTGCTGTTTTGAGGCAAGATGCATGCAGTGCCATAAAGCATTGTAATTAAATGTTTCATTAAACCAAAATGAGACAGAGTTGGAACTCTGCCGGTTTGTATTACAGGGGCCTTTAGAAAACAAAGCCTTACAGTTTATGTACATATATAGTTTTGCAAATAACCAGTCGTTAGTTTGCCAGACTGGCAACTAAGGGCATCTGCTTGTCTTAAAACCAGCTGCTGGGGCTAGTACAGAAACAAGGAAGGGAAGATAGTTGTCTCCATTACTAAGGGGCACATCTCGCTAGTTAACAGCAAGAGACAGAGGCAGGTAAAGGTTGGGTCGGTACCACACAACTGCTGCTGATCTAAGGGCCCTCTGCTTCAATTGGATTTTTAAGCACACATAAATGTTCATACTGTAGACCCAGCCTCTGCCAAACTGTGCTGTCTCTTGACACCTGTTGGTAATGAAATGAACACCCCTTTCTCCTTGATGGAGGCTACTAACTAGCAGCAGTCAAGTACTACATCCCAGCCCATTGCACTGGAGCCTCAAATTCAAAAGCAAAAGAAAAAATGGTTTTCTAAGCTGTTAATGTAGCCATCCTAACAATCAATGCTTTCAATTTGTGGGCGGTCTAATGTGGCATATATATGCTCTTGTTTATAAAATTGAACAGAAGGTAAATGCTTGAAACAAATTAGGTATAAAATGTATAACTGATGCAACAATTACAAAAAACAAAATGTAGAACAGGTGGCACAAAATAAGTTTGAGGAAATCACCCCATTTCTGGAAATTTATTCAAAAATTACATATGCAGAACAAGTATTATATCAAAGCAATCTAATAGTAGCAAAATATGTTATCCAAGATTCTTAGCAAACTGTATTTCCTAATTTTCCCAGACAAGAATCATACTTATGACAGGTTCTGTTTTTCATCAGAATCAAATAAAAGGTTTCTGCATGAACAGATGGCACCAATTTTAATTCTTCATTCTTTAATTTAGATAACTTGAAAATGATTTATTAACTTTTCATGACAGAATGAAAATTTTCATTACTATTTTTAAAAAACCTGAGCTTGGAGTATCTGGGAATGACCTTAAGGGCTGTAACTGCTTGATGCAAATACCAGGATTTCCTGTCCTTTAGCGTGTAGGGGTGTTGAGGTGCATAGCTCCTTTAGGGGTTAACAGTTGTAGTCATTGATGCATATATATTAGGCTGTATTCATAAAAAACTGCTTGGTGCCTGAGTCAACCTCTTACAGTCTAACAACAGTGACCAATAGGAAGAACAGAAGAGAATCCAAGAAAGCTGAGGTAAGCTAGATTCTGAAGCGTTGTAAAATTAGAAACAATACAAAATTGGGTGTCTTGGGTAATGTGTCTGGGGATTTACTGCTGTGTGCTTTAGGGGTTTTTTGCAACACATTTCAGACTACAAATAATGTTGAAAGAAAACAAAGACTGTTGTGCTTAAATGGTTTCCAACAGCTTCCAGAAAGCACCACCTAACCTGTACAAGGTAAAATATTTTAATTACTTACTCTATCAGTTTGGAGAATGAGATATATTTATGTAAGATATATTTGAGATACATATATATATATATATATATATATATGTAACAGGAAAGATGTCAAAGATAAATATGTCATTTCCTTGGAAATCATTTAGTTTTTCTCTTTCTCTCTTACCTCCAGCAGTTTTTGTAGACTGTTATCCAGCAGTTTCAAAGGCTATTAAGGTCTCTCAGGTACTGAACTTGGTGCTTTAGAACAGCAGAGTTATATTTAAATACAAAGCATTTGTCGTCTTTCTGCAACAGGATTTCTTATTATGCTTAATTTAACAAAAATGTTACTTTTTGTATACACACAAATATACAACCCACAATGTTTTGATGTGGCACTTCAATGTATGCTGCTGGCTTACTGCCTTGATGGTTTTTTTGAAAACTAAAATAACTTAGTTTGCCTTTAAAACATTATGGCTAGAGATGCACTGTTGCTGTATTTACAAATACTGTGGTATATGAATTTGGCTTGCATATCCAATATTCTAATATACAGTTCTGGAAAATGTTAGCTCTGATGTGAACAATAGAAAATGGATCTGGAGAAAGACATCTGAGTATGTGTGAAGCAGTAAAATTGACGTTCTAGGCAGAATTAGTTTTCTAAGTAATATACCTCCTTTGTTAAAAGAAGGTCAACAATTTAGAGCACAGTGGAATGATTGAAGGAAAGTAGATTTTTCTAGACTTCTAGGGAACATGACCAGCAAGCAGCTGCTAAAATATTCTTTGATCTGCCTCTTGCATATGATGAGATCCGGGCCTACAAAATCTAATCCAGATGCCCTTCTCATCTAGGAGGAAAAAAAAGAAGAAGAAGAAGAACACATGCGTTCTGCAAAGCAGGAAAGAATGATGGCTGGGTAGCTGTCTGTAAAGCCAGTCCTAATAGCTCACCTCTGTTCCAGATGACACAGAAGTCTCTGTACATGAAATATTTTGCCCTGCTTTGGAAGAGACTGGTTTAAAATGCTACTGAAAGCATTATGGGAAATGAATTCTTCGTAGCGCATATATATATATATATATATATATATATATGCATAAACAAGAACTGAATATGCACACAATTTATCTTACAAACAATGTTTAAGTAATTCAACGAAGACATATTCTATTTGGGGTTTGTAGATGACCCCTTTTTTTCCCTCTCGTGAAAACCCCATGACATCATGCAAGGCGGTATTTCACTCTTACAGAGATGACAGCTCTCCAATGGAGAGCTTGCTGCTGGTATTTTTGGGGTTGGGGGAGATACTGTAGAGATATACACCTTCTTATAACTATCTTTCCCCTTCTTTCTAAGGTAAACTATGAATGTAAAACTGTACTCCAGCCTTTTGGTAGTTCTCTTGACTAATGCAGCATGGACACAAAACATGTATGATGAGTCTGACCCATACGACTGGTCTTTCCACACCTTTGAGTGTCCACAAGAATGCTTTTGTCCTCCCAGTTTCCCAAATGCTTTGTATTGCGACAGCAAGGGACTGAAAGAGATCCCTGCCATCCCAGCAAGAATCTGGTATCTCTATCTTCAAAATAATCTCATTGAAACGGTTCCAGCCAAACCCTTTGTGAATGCCACACAACTAAAATGGATCAACCTGAACAACAATAAAATCACCAGCAATGGGATTGAAAAAGCCGTATTCAGCAACATGAAAAGTCTTCTCTACTTGTTTCTTGAAGATAATGAATTAGATGAGGTCCCTGCTCCACTGCCAATGAGCTTGGAGCAGCTGCGTTTGGCAAGAAACAAAATTGGTACAATCCCTGCTAGAGCCTTCAACAATTTGGAAAATCTCACAATGCTAGATCTGCATCAAAATAAGCTGTTGGACAGTACTTTCTCCAGTGACACCTTCCAAGGACTTAACAGCCTGGTGCAACTCAACATTGCTCGAAACTCACTTACAAAAATGCCACCCATCCTCCCAGCCAATGTAATGCAGCTGTTTTTGGACAATAACTCTATTGAAGCAATACCAGCAAACTACTTCGATGCGATGCTCAAACTGATTTTCCTTCGACTGAATAACAACAAATTAACTGATGAAGGTCTACCAAACAAAGTCTTTAATATTTCATCTCTTCTTGACCTTCAGCTCTCTTACAATGAGCTCACCAGAATCCCAGCTATCACTGCTCACCTTGAACATCTTCACCTAGATAACAACAGAATCAACAGTAAGTGGCTATCAGCAATCTAAGTCAAAATTTGTTGTAATGAAATAACATTGTCTTTCTTTTCTGTTTACAGCACTAAATCCTGAGCATAGCTGGACTAGCTGCTGACTAACATGTAAAGGCTTGTACTGCACATGGCATAGATGGGGGAGGAAAGCATTTTTTTTTTAATTTTAAACAATGTCTTTAATTACTCACAAATAGGTGTGTTGGAAACTAGAAAACTGAACCCACAGTTGCTTAATAGAACCCATCACAGTTTCTTTGATGTGAAATGTAAATTCAACAGCAAATTGTGTGTGGGCCCTATTATGTCTCCTAGTGGGGGATGCCTGTTTCTATAATAGTGAAGGAGAAGTGACATATGGGCATCATGCTGAGAATTGTCAATGGAGGCCAAGATGACTGGAAATTGACTGATTCTGTCAATGGCACCCAACTCAAAGCTATTTACTTTCTCATGTTGAAGAGGAAGGAAGGATGGGATTCATATTTAGCAGGCATATTGGCAGAAGATAAGTGGATCTGTAACTTCAGAAAAAGAACATTCCTGTACAAGAGTAAGAGCTTAAGTTGGTTGAAAGAGGTGGTGCGTAAGAGGATCAGAGGTAAGATTTTAAAAGGATGGGGAAATACAGGCCACAGAAAATGCCCAAGGTATGCAGCTAGATCTCTATGAGTTTCCCGTGACAACCTAGCAGTTGCCTTGCCAGCAAGCAGTGCATCCGTGTAAAATATCAGACTGGGAAAGAGCAGCCTCATCCACTTTGGATTTCAGTGGTGGCACAGGGACAAAGGAACAACTTAAAATGCTGAAGAAACCAGCCAAACATGAAGCTGTATGAGTAACATGCATGTGTATGGACCACAATTTTACAGGCTAAGTCATTGAGGAGGCATTCTAGAAAGCAGTGTGCCCATTTTAGAGATGGGAAACACTGAAAACCCATGTCCACCCATCCCAACACTGAAAACCCATCTGCCATGTTTATTCTTAAATCAAAGAATAAGCATGGCAGAGAACTCAAATTCCAGACAAGCCAGAATGCACAAGGAGCTGTGCTCAGGCGATAAATAGGCCAGGGCAGAAAATTCAAAACATATGTAAACCAGATCACTCAGAAGTGAGCCAGCATAGCCTTCTCCTGTTGATATACAAACAGACATTCGCTCATATCTACAACAGGGTTGTGCATACCAAACACCAACATACTAGCTGGCCACTGTAATGCACTTCAGTTCACGGAGCTGATTTTCTGCAAAGAAAAAAAAGCAAAAACTACATGGAAAGTTGTTTAAGTTATTCTGAGGTATTTAGAGAATATCTGAGCATACACAACAGGAGAAAACTCTGTATGCTTTGCAGATCCCAAGTGTTTCCAAGGTAAGAGGGGTCCATTTTGTGTGTGTGTGTGTGTGTGTGTGTGTGTGTGTGTGTGTGTGTGTGTTCACTAGCTTTTATCTGGAATTCCAAGGTTCACCAACTGAGAACTTGTTGCAAAAAATATATTAAGGAATTCTGAGTACAGGAATTTGTACTCAGGAATTTGTTTCAGCTTCATTCCATTATGGTGCTCAAAAGCTCTTCCACACACAAGCCTTCTCCTCTTCATCAGTACAATCTAAATGAGGGGAGGGTGTTTGCTGCTACCATTGTTAAATCATTGGAAGTCAGGAATACTTACTCATCTACTACAACTAGGACATCCAGGTCTATCTTCTGCTTCTCCCCAATTTAAAATGTGTCTTTTCAAAATATGCAAGTTAAAGTCACCTAATGTAACATATCAATAACTATGAACCACATGCTAATAACATGTCTTACCCTAGGAATCAGCCCCATTGAGTTGGGGTGAGCATGGAACAGGACCCTGAGGCTTAATAAGTACTTAGTGTAATGGCATTTGCCACTTTTGGGAGATTTCACAAATAACAATAAGGTAATCCATTTAGTTTAATACAAGTTTGAGGCGCACATATATTGCCACAATTAATGTTGTGCTCTGCTGGAACTGGCGAGATAAGTTATTCAGATGAATCCCTTTTATCTGGTAAAATAGCATTTTTTGTGTGAAATTGCCAAGTAACTTCCATTAATATCTTCACTGGTAAAACATATCTTAAGGAAAATAAGAGCAGGCACATCTGAGAAAAGGCAGCACCTTTGGGCCTTTGCGGCATCCATCCAGAGAGCTTAGGGAAAGGAGAAAAGAGCAAACTTCGCAAATGCTCAGCAATGGCCAGGAGAACATTTGCGCCACGGAGGCCAGTGCATCAACTCCGTCTGCCCATAGAGATTTCTGGGCTGGCCATGGTCACACATGCTCTACTGACATCCTATTTATACTACAAATGCATACACACATGTATTTTTAAAATGGTATTTTAGTTTTTCAACTGGTTGCAAGCCACCCAGAGATTACTGGGTAGATCAGCATGTACTTAGTAAATAAGTATGTAGGTCTGCTTCGAAAACTGTTCAGAAATTTCAGCTGGCACAGATGCTGTGACCAGAATGCTAACCGGGGCCAGTTAAATGGAGCACGTGACTTCAGTTTCACTGGTCACTGGAGTGTTCCAAGCAGAATGTCAAATACTGGTGATGACCTAAAAGTTCTATATGACTTGGGCCCAGGCTACCTGACACACTGCCCTCCCCCAGATTGTCACTAGCTTACATTTCTTCCTTCTGTAAGAAATGTAACTCCTTGGAACTCAAAGAGGCTTCCAAGTATCTTTTCCTTTACATTTCATCTTTGCAAGGAACCCTCCTAAGGTGTGGTAGACTGAGAGTGAGTGACTGGCCCAAAGTCTCTTAGCAAGTTTCACGGCTCAGAGGAGACCAGAACCCCATTCTCCGGAGTCGCAGTCCATAGGATCCAGCCTGTTTTTTAAGATTTTCCAAAGAGCCTCTTTATTTGAGACCTTCAGAATGGTGTGTGGAAGTAATCCCAGAGTGGGCCTTTTTTGGAGGCTTCTCTAAAGCTGTCCAACTGCTCCCATGGTAGGCTTTTCTCTACTGGTCTTCACCTTGCCCCAAAGACCACTTTATTCAAGAGAGGGATATTGTTGTTTTTGTAATTCTGTAGTTATGTTTTATTGTATTTTAATGTATTGCTTTATTGTTTTAATCAGTTTGCCTCCTGCCTGTAAGTCATCTTGACTACCATTGTTTGGTAATAGGGCAGGGTACAAACCAGATCAATAAAGAGGTCTCAGCTTTTTTAAAAAATATATCAGCTCCTTCCTTGTTGTGACAACATCATGTGAATGATGTTGGTGTTTTCTGAGGGTGGGTGGAATGCATGTGTGGAATCGAACAATTGACATGAGGGAAATTTTACCTCCCTGCACAGTTTTGCTATGAGGATTAATGCACTGTCATTTTTTCAACCATTTTTTCTGGCTGATGGTCAACCAGAAGCCAATTCTTGATTTACTTTGACTTTCTTACTTTCTGTGGGGGAAAAGGAAGAAATGGATGCTGAACTGTGACTATGTTGGCTCTCTGGAAAAATCTAAATTCACAATTACTTATTTGAAACATTTACCTTGTAAAGATTAGAAATTTGTCTCCCAATAACTTTTGTCATGTTTGCTTGTTTGTAGGTGTTAACAGCACTCAAATATGTCCAATTCCTATCCCAGGAGAACATGTCTATGAGAGAAATTTGCCACGCCTCCGTTATCTCCGTCTGGATGGCAATGAAATAAAACCTCCAATTCCATTTGACCTCATGCTTTGCTTCCGACTCCTTCAGGCTGTTGTTATTTAAGAACAGCTTAGTCTCACAGTTGTGCTTAAGGAGCAGGTTTTGCTGAAGTTAAACTTGTTAGACTTTCCACATGTTTCCCAGTTGTTATTTGAGATTACATCACAGTTGTATTTTTATTTTTTAAGGATGTGTTATTTTCTGTTCATTTGCAAAAGAACTTTCCTAGTGCTATCTTTACTTTAAAAGACAAAAGGATGCTTTTTCTGCTCTAACATATTTTCTAGTTATGAGCTCCACTCAGAGCTAGTAAAGTCAATACAAGTTTTGCCATTGTTGTACATTTTATGTATCTTGGCTTGTACATTCATGAATGATACATTCAAAATATATACTAAGCAACAGCAAAATATGTAATTTTGCCTTTTACTATCTTTATAAATATGAACACTGCTGAAAATGTCAGGTACCATGCTTCATTATCTCATTCCCACCATCAATTAACTGGTAAGATATCTTATTTGCAAGGTATTAACAGCTATTTTGCATGATTGGAGCCAACTATTGTTTTGGGAAAAAATAGCATGTACAAACACAAAATTTGAAAATTCAGGCACCTAAGAGCATGACATTCTGTCAACAGAGTTTAAAAAATAACATGTTCTTTATTCTTGCATAGATTGCAATATCAATGGAAATTTGAGGAAAGTTTCTAGATTATATTTGTGAAATTTCTCAACAGAATGTACATATCCAAAGAGTACCCAGTCATTTCCCTAGTTCACATATGTGAATTTTATTCTATGTAGCTTATATCTGGAACTTTATTTTGCTGTTTTGTGAAATCTGTGGCCCATTTAGATGAATGGTAGATGAATCACCAAATACAGTGGATCTAGGATTTCACCAAGGCCTAACTGAGCATAACCATGATGAATTGGAATATGTGTTCCAATTGCAATATTTTATGTTTTTTTCAGTTTATAGATTATACATTTTATTTTTTGCTGGATTTTATCTATTTCAAATGCTTTTGAAACTAAAATATGCATATCAACACAACATAATAAATGTTCATTTCCTTTCAAGTAATCTCTCACAAAATGTATATCAGAGGTGGGCAGCATGGTTTCCATGATGCACCTCCAGACAATTTTCTAGGCACTTGCCAAGGTACCCCAGTCTTCCCACTGAAAAAATAACAAATTTTCTTTCCAGAAGCAGGATCATTCCAAAGATCATGTCCAGTCACTGCAAACTTTATTTCCCCTGAATTATTTTGGCATATTTTCTTGGAAACTTTCTTAAGAAATGAAGATGGCAGAGGGCTACAGACCAATGCTTCTGCATTGTATCCAGTCATCAACAAAAGGAATTCTGCTTGGCAAGCAGGGGACAGGAAGAGCAGTTGCAAGGTGGGGGGCAAAGGAATGAGCAAAAGAAAGACAACAGCATTTGGGGAGTCAAGTGGAAGCAACTGAAGGGGGTGCAGTTCAGAGAGTTGTGCTTGTATATCTCAATGAATGGGTATTCTGTGCATGTGAGAAAGATTAGGGAAGATTGTGAAAAATCCTGGAAAAGAATATGATTTTTCATGTACTCTTGATGAGGAACAGAAGGGAATGATGTGTGTGTATGCATGTACACATTCATGATAGAAACATTTAGGGGGCGGTATGGATGGGTGGATGCATGGAAGATGGATTCACAGAAGCATCCAGTGTGTATACACATCCGGTGGGAGGGATAAAAGGAAATACAGCAGGATGAGTGGCTGGAAGAATGGGTTGAGAGAAGCAGTTTGCCTTCTGTGAAATCAGTTTTTGTTGGTACTAGGAAGAGTGTGCTGTTTAGTGCACTGGAGCTCAGAGAGTACAATAAACTATAACAGTTTGCCTCTACCTTATACTCAGCATTTTTGCAGGGTATTTGTCCATTTATTTATTCAGTGTGCAATGCAAAACAAACAAACTACACCAAACAAACAAACTGCATCAGGAAAGGAAAGGAAAATATTTGAACAATATTTTAAAAAATATCCATGGCTCTGATTACATTTATATTATATATTTCCATATGTTAATATATAAGACAACATATTATCTTTATTAACAATAATTATGCCTATACTTCAACAAAGGCACCCAAAATATCCATTTGTAAGTTACACCTAAAGGCCACCTATTCAAAAATGGAAAGTGTCATTAAACCTTCTACTCATTCTGTTACTACAGGCGGTTTTTAATCGTTCCAGTGTTTCAATTTTAATCTTTTAACTCTCAAAAGGGCATGGAAAATCCATGTACGTTGTCCTTGCATTAGATTCCAAGTGGTGAGTAGGTTATTAGAAAGAACATATGTATCTTTAAATATTAAATAGCTTTCCATTTTAAAAATCTGAATTATTACCTCTTTCCAAAAGAAAACTGCCTTTGGGCATTGCCAAAACAAATGGAAAAGACAGCATTAGCAACAATTCAGCTCCAACAATTGGCCAATTTAATTAAACTTTTATTAAAGAGATGCTCTAGTGTTCAATATACTTGAAATATCCGTAATCCTTCGTAAAATAGAAAATAATGATTCACTCAATTGGTTGCATGTTTTCTTGCCTATTCCTTAATTTGTTAATGCATAAAGTTAATCATTTGCATCAAGGCTGAAATGTAGTTCCAGAATAAACAATTGAAGAACATTAGCATGAAGAAAAGTACTTATCCTAACATGCTATGCACAAATTCATGGATAGTATTAAAGAGATGGATATTAGGGGTCATGAATATTAGGGTTTTGTGTGGCAGCACACAAAAGAGATTCCAAACATAAATACCAAAGGGGAAAGAGGACATCTGCCTCTGGTAGCTTTCACAAGAAAAAAACGAGACTCTGATGGTCCTAACACTGGCTTTAGGAGTTTCATTTTAAGCTACTTCTGGAGGAAAATCAAAATGTCTCAGTGTTGCAAAGATGAATTTCTAATACATTTCACCAGTAGGCCTTCCCTGCATCCAGAGTGATAATACCAGCTGTGTCTTTTCTAGCCTGATTTAATGAAAAATCAGCCATCAATCTAAGATCATCAGCCCCTTGCCTGTGAATACAACCTGGTTCATTTGCAGTAGTTCTCTGTCACTGAACTGTCACAGAAACAAGTAATAAGATTTCCATTTATATAATTGTTGTCACTCATAATTATTTATTAATTATATCTCTAACCTGCCTTTTTTCCTTCCAAGGAACTCAAAGTGGTTTACAGAATTCTCCTCCTCCTCTCCTTGTCTTACGCTCGCAACAACCACCCTGTTGGGTAGGTTGGGCAGCGAATTGTGACTTTCCAAAGTTACCCAGGTAGTATATGGCTAAGTGGGACAAGAATTCAAAGCTCCTGAACCCCAGTTCTGCACTCTTAACCACTATACTATACTAGTTCTCTCTAAACCAACATTGCTTCTACACAAAATATATTGCTACATGTATTTATAATGGTGAATGTTATATTTACCCCACAAGAGAACTATGATGATGGTGGTGATAACGTTGTTAAATAAAGGTGAATCCCTAGTTTTGTTTTGTCACATACCCAATTTTGAGCACAAGGACATGCTGTTATATTCCTAACTACAAAGTGTAAAAATGCTCCTTATTCTGTTACTGTGAAGCCAGGAATTATCCTGGCTAAGATGGTATGGCCATCTCAAAAGCATGTAATGACTTTGCCAACAAAGCTAATCCAACAAGGGTCAAAGGATACATAAAAATCTAAAACCACTCCAGAATGTCAGTATATGATCTAGAAAGAAAACTACACAGATCTTCAACCCCCGTAATTGAGGTTATTCCTTCGAAGGCTTTTTTCCCAAAATGAAATTTAAATGGCGCCTGAAAGTTATAATGTATTTATACCGAAAACCATTATTAGAGATATCTGGTCCAGCATGCTGATCACACAGTGACCACCAGGGCTTAATGCTTAAAGATATTTCAGCAATTGTGTAATTGAGCTACAAAGCTACAATAGCTTAAAGACAAGCAGAGTAGCTCAAAGGTGGGGGAGGGAGGAAACGGGATGTCCAAAAACAAAGGAATTTCTTTCTTCTTTAATAGTTGCATATATTCTGATGTGTGTGAAATTTTCACAATGCATGACAAGTAACATTTGTTAATATTCCCTCTTCTATATAGCTATTAAAATGTTTTTTCCTTTTGACATAATCAGAAAAAAATAAAAAGGGAGTATGTAATTAAACTGTCATGAGATTTTTAATGAATTATGTATTTTAAAAAATAAATTAAATATGTAAAATAAATAACTTCAGCAGCATTTTACTAGTTATTTCCAAGACTGCTTATTGTATGCACTGCATCAATGAAACAAACTGGGAGATAAAGACAGATTTTTCCCTTCCAGATGCATAGTAGTCTTCTTTTTAAAATGTTGAACCCAAAGACAATTTCATGTGTATGAGCATTTCCTAAAATGTGTCCTTGTGGAAACTTAGTTATTTGCATATTTTTTTCTCATATAAAAGGGTGATGGCTTTGAGCACATAGTTTCTTCCACAAAGATGCAGATTATACTATAGGGGTGGATGTGTCATTTATGAAGTAGCACTAAGCTGATGCCTTGGATGATTTTACCATTAGCTCATGCATCAAATCTTTCAACAGGTCTTGTTGCCACAAAATCACCAATAAAGCATGAGCCTTGACAGCTGGCTTTCTAATAGTACACATGCATTTGGTATTTAATATTCAGCTTTCCTTCCAGCCCCCTACAAATACAAACAAATGAAAACGCTAGTCATGTCAGTGAGAGAAAAAATGTGATAAATATCTGTCTCAAGTATATATTAGATCAAATGAGCATACATGGAGTATTCGGCCACCAATCAAATTATGCATTGACAAGTTAGATTAAAATGGCCTGAGAACAAAGAGAATTGATGAAAAATATAAATAATTAATCTGGAGTTATTCAATATACTAACAAAGTTTTAACTTCAATCTATTCTTGAAACAATTTAATAGAATATAAATAAGGACAGGGCCATAGCAACTTTTCC